TTTGGAGGGGTTCGGCTTCAGCCAGTCGTTTTCTTTTGAAGCGACTGAAACGGATGTGTTGTGAGCACTGTGGGTCGTCAATGATGCGGGTTCAGGCTTCATGTTTGCACCAACTTCTAGTTATATTGAGCTATAGGGTCAAACTTCCTGAAACATGGAAATACATGAACACACTCAGCAATTCTGATCACCTTCAGCTGACTGACTGACTGACTGACTGACTGACTGACAACTCGGATGGTCCGTCTGCGGACACGCTCCACCTCGCTCCACACGCTCCACGTCTCCAGGAGACCTTGGTCCACTACTCGGAACACGACGGCATGGGCAGCTATGAGATCAGGTGAGGGCACCGGATTGGAGGTTGGTGTGGCGAGTGCTTTGGAGCTCCCAAAGCACTCGGAAGCTGTATGGAAATAGCTGTGGGATGATGCTATGGGATTGGTGGACAGGATGGAATTTTGGATGAGTTTTTCAATCGCTCAAGCTCTCTTTGGATCCAGGTTGTTGTACCAGAACCCCAAGTGTTTTGTTGAAGAGTCTCCTTATAACGCATGTTCTGTTTGACGTGGAGAGAGGCCCAGCATTGTCCGATTATTTGGTTACTCAGCTCATTATACATTTGTTTTGATAGCAGGTTCTGGGTAAATATATGCATGAAAGGGCTTGGGACCAAACAAATCACCTACTGGTATGTAGTTACAGTATATAGATGCATGACCAAACAGGCAAACATCGAAGCAAAAGTGTAGCCACAGTGACCAACACTCGCATTTGAACAAAACATGGATTTTCCCAACCAAGGACAACACCAATTTTTTGGATCCACTTTGCGTGGGCTTGATATTTCAACCACCCCAGACCATGCATGGAATACTTACTTGTATTAGATTAGGGTGATAAATGGGATAAATGTATGTATACTGTAACATCCTGTAACTATTCCTTGCATGGATGGTTTGGGAAGGGTACAAAGCAAACATATGGTTATTTCATGGTTAGAACCCCTTTGCATTCAAAGATCAATTGGTTATCCAGGCCTGGGATGCAAGAGTTCCTTCAACGTGGCGAGCTGAGGTGAAACACTGGGATCGGACGAGTAAGTCTGTAAGTCTGTCAGTTTTGCTACAGATGTTTGGCAACAAAACGGGTTAATACGGTCTATATAGCAAACAACTTGTAAGTGGCCAGGTGCGAGGGATCCTCATGATTCAACGTGTGCAGGATCCCTCCCATGGCAGGTCAGATCGTTGCTTAAACTGTGCTGTTTTTTCAGCTCGCTGGATCTAAGAAGAAGACCGGCCAGCCCTTCGAACCCATAGAAATATAGAGGTTTGGTGCGTCCCAGGATACCAGTAAGAAGTTGGCAACAGGTTCTCGCTTGTTTTGAGATGGAAAGGCCTGCAACCTAACGATCATCATCCACTACCGGTATTCGGAAAGGGCCTCAAAACTGGCATAGACCTTTCGAGCGCTTCCAAGAGATTTGGCCGTGGGTCAAAACAGGGGACCCGGGTGGTCAACGGGTCAGATGGACAGAACAGACAACGGTCAACATGGTCAACCTCCCAAGGAAGTTAGGGTTCCAGATGCCATGACACAGCCATATTTGCCAAGAGAGGTTGTTCACAGCCCATCCCATCTCGCTCGCTCATCCCATACGTACCACACCAACCGGGGTCCGAGTTCGTTCGGGTCTCCCCACAACCCCCTCTCCACCCGTCGGGTCGCTGCCTAACCCGCGCTGCGGGTGGACTGGTCTCCAACGCCGAGACTCGAGGGATGGGCGTCGTCGGAGCGGAGAAAGGAAGAGAGTAGTAACAAGTGCCACACTACGAACGGAACAAGAAGCTATTAGAAACGAGTTCCACGCTAGTAGTAACAGGTGCCTTACTAGTAGTAACAAGAAGCTATTCGACTTTGTGTGACATGTGGCTCAAAGAGATATATATATATATACCCGGCTGAAGTCCAGTTCGACTTTTTTTTGACCGGGAGTAAAGGAAGTTTCCTTTCAGTTCCCCTAGTCAGACCATTCTTGTTATAGTCTTTGACTCCACTTTTTTTTTTTTTCCACTTTGCGTATGCCGTAGACTATTGTCTGTAGCTGCAGCATTCGAATTATCATGCGTCATGGCCTCCGAGCATAATCTGCTCCCATTTCAGCATCATCGTTGAATTCAGCGACCAGGGAATCAACGACAGAAGAAAACCACTCAGGTATGGGTTCAGATCGCTCTGGCCCGAGGAGGCTCTCGGAGATAATCTCGGCAAGTGTGTTGCACATTAATGGCGGGTACTCTTCGTTTTTGACTCCCAGGGTATATATATATTATATATAGAGGGTGCATGAAGTCTAAGGCTTCCTGGGGATTTGAGCCAGTTTCGAGAAAAAAGACGATATCCCTGAAGCTTTGCACCCTCAACACTGTACTGTGGGTTTGACATGTGGGACATGTGGTGGATTATCCAAGCTGCAGCTCAGCCCACCACCTACAGCTTGGCGCCGAGGAATGCACGCTAATGGCTATGAGCTGATCATCTTCACAGCTGCCACACAGGCGGGGATCGCGATGGCTGGAGATGACCGACCAAAAATCACTTCCACTGGATCGCTAGGGTGTTTGGAGTGCAAGACCATGAGATATGAACCTGGAACTGATTCGGACCTGTTTTGACCAGAACCGGCCATACTTTGGCTTCAAAATCACGGTCCTATGGCCAGAAAAACACATCCAATCCCTGGTCTTGACTCACCTCGATTTCATCCCCTGGGTCAATTTCTCGTCCGACGTTTGTCAGGACTATGCCGATTGGGTCATTGATCAGATTGACCCAGATCGTTGGATCTCAGATTGTGGGCCACACGCGTCGGACGGACTTCTGTTCTGTTGGGATTGATGTGGAAGGAGAGAAGTCCTTTTTGTTTTTGGGAACATCTACTAAGAACATCTACATCGTTTTGGCGGGTCGAACATTGATGGTTTCCTGTGCCAATGTTCCCTTTAAGTCATCTTAAGCCAATTTTGGGATGGCACTTCGAAATTTCTGGCAGCGTCAATGAACATGGTGTTACCAGCACTTGCTTCTGGTTGAGTCGACTTTCACCAAGTCCCACCTGTGACTCGACAGAAGAGTCGTGTGCGTCATCCCACACCAAGTGAACACGAACCTACTCTGTTAGTGGGCCTCAGCACAAAGTGTGAAGAAATTCGCCGATAGGCCAGCTGTTCTACCCTTGAATGTCTTTGTGGTGTTGTGAACTTCTTCGCGTGGATCGTGCCCAGAATGGGTCTGAATGTGCCTGGAGAGTCATTGAGAGACTGTAGGGACTGGCGAAACTTTTTGGAAAGACACGTCTTCTTTTGCTGTCTAAGGCTTAATTCATCATCGCCTCTATCGGCAGGTGCGTCCGCTTTTTTTCCTGCAGCTCGAGATGGCAGGGTTAGTGAGACCGTGACGACACATCAAGAAACGACAGAGAGTGGTCGGGGTCTAAAATGCATATGTCCCATTGTTCTCTCACTTTGCAAAAGTACTATAGTATGACAACAATGTGCAGTGCCAGCAGATGGATGTTTCAACGAAGAGCTTCCACTTCCGAACGGCTGTTTGCTCTCATTGAGTTGGCATGAGGAAGAGGTGTGCTTTGCCCATTCTTAGCAATTTTGTGCAAGGGGCACCCGAATGACAGTTGCTGGAAGTAAACTTGCTAACAAGACCTCAAATTCTGCCTAAGAACTTGCCCAGACGACCACTGAAACCGGGCTGATGCTGCCGGATGGATTGGCCCATATATGTGCCATCACTGCCATGTCACGCACCGCCCTCTGTAGTATTACCCCCTCCCCCTCCTCTGTCTGGACTGTCTGTCGACCTGGTTGGACCTCTCCACCCGGCTCAGCATGCGCTGCCTTGGGGTCCGATCTTCGTGAAAGACCTCAGCCGCATGGGCCGTGATCTGGACCGGACGTCCTCCGACGTCTCGGGGGGGTGGTGGTGGAAGACCCGTGGCGACGTGGAGGACGCGGTTTCGGTGGGAAGGGAACAGGGGCAGGGGTGTGCAGATTGATGGGTTTATTAGAGGGGACGGGGGCTTTTGGAGTTGGAAGCCTCAAGTGGTGGATGTGCCAGGATCACTGAGAATCAGAATCAAGGAGAGTTCTATCACATTCCACCAGTGCTTTGAGCTAGAAGGCCTCTGTTGACCATCCACACTTGGCGGGCTGAGACGCATTCAAGATTGATTCAGCCAGAACTTAGGAGGAAGTGTACCCTCCTGCAGACTCACATGGACCCTGAAAACCACCGGGGTCGGGGGTCGTAACATCTTCTCCACGTGGAGTCTTTGTTCAAGGTGCATGTTAGTCTGCTCTTGTTTCTTCTTGCAGGGGTGGGATGTCTGAATCGAAGCTCTTCAATTGCATTGTGGCGACTTCATGAGGATGCGGCCAATGTGAAGCAGCCTTCTTGGCTCAACAACTTTGCCCGTGCAAAAAGTGCATCAACAAGAACACTCTCTCCAGTGTGGAAAACGCTTTCGTGCGATTGAGTTGGAAGGAATAGTGAAGGCTGAACATGGCTTTGCCAACCAAACCTGAAAACGCTTGTAGACTGTGACCGATTTTCAGGGTCCAAAGGAGGTCCGTTCAGGGTTGATCTTTGGCTGGCCTCGAAGGATCTAAATACCTGAAGGCTGCACCAAGGCCAATGTTGTTTCGGTGGAAGGACCCGCTTTGATCTTTTCCAATTTGGAGCTGTAGGAATGAACTTACGAAGCTCCACACCTTTTCGAGCGAACCTACGAAGAGCTCTGAACTCCTTTTTGCAGACATGTTTGTTATTTGGAGTTTATGAAACGCACGACAGATGGATCATGATGGATCATTCGGGGAAGAGCCGGCAAAACCCCCCTATAAGCGGACTTTGAAACCAAAAGCTTTCCCACTTTCTTTTTGCTTTGACATGTTTTGATGTCTTCGCCATTTCTCTTTTGAGCGATGTCATGCGAGAATGCCGAAGAGGCTGCTGAGGAGCCTGAAAACTCGTGCAGTCGATGTCCTGCATGTTCATAGGCTTGGTTTTTCGGCTTGAATCTCTCTGGTCGCATGCGGTTCTGCCCAGGATGCGGTGGACCACGTGGACTCCACGGAGAGTGCTGAGGAGTCGGAGGAAGCAGCGAGCTTTGACGCTTGGAAGCAGCTCACCTTGGGTCTTGATGCTATGGAGATGAGAAGTACTGAAGATTGAGTCATGTTTTGAGAAGATACTCTCCCTGCAACTCATGGAAGTGGAGTTCACCCCCCTTGTGAAAAATAGCGTCTTGATGCCATGAGTGAGCACTGAACATTGAGTGAGTGGATGGGCCCACATGGAGACGTGGAACATCTAAAACAACCTCTGGTGTCGGGTCGTTTTGGTGTGGTGACCGCCATCTTCATGCCAAGACCCGGTAGCTTGGTGTCCCAAGACCACACCGGCGCGCGGAACGTCACGGGGGACCCGCGGCGCGGGAGGAACTCCACGGACGGCTTCAGATCGGAACGGATCTGCGGTTCGCACGGTGGATCCTCCACGAACTTCGGATCTCACCAGCAGCTTCCAACAGGTCACCAGCTGCTACTGCTACCAGCTGCTACTGGAAGTCAGTCTGCGTTTTCCATGTCGGAGACCTGGGCTGAAGGTCCTGGTCAATTCCAACAAAATGGTCTTGGACTTCCTTCAATCGTGGAGAGGCGACCCGAGTTCGGTTCGAGTCCCTGCGGGGCGCAGGTGTTTCTTCGGTCCAAACGCCTAACAGAGGACGACTGAGGGTCTGGTCCAGACTCTGAGCCGAGCTGCTTTGTCTGCTGTGAAACACAGGGTCCACACCCTGTGTTTCCGGACTCATCCCCCTAAAACTGCCGGACTTCTATAGCTCATCCCCTAAAGCTCATCCCAACTAGCTCATCCCCCTAAAACCTGCAGGGCCAAAATCAACTCCCTTTTGGGGTCCCAGGACTTCTACGCCATCGTCGACTTCGAGTGCACCTGTGTGCGGCACACCACCGAAAGGCCTGGTGATTCCCAGATTAGACGGTACAACGGGGGATCTGCTTGGTGCATGTCCAGTTTGCACGAATGCCTAGGTTATTGCCTAGGCATGTGTGCCAATGGTGTGATGGTGTTGAACATTCTAGTGTGGGGACCCTCCAAGGCAAGGGGTGTGTTAGTCTATAGCCCCACAAAGCTGTGATTCGGGGTGTCCATTAACCACCCCGACTGGGGGTCCTGGTATTATTGGGACTATTGATATAGCTTGCAAGCACTCAATATTGCCTTGGGACATGATGCCAGATGGTACGTGGTCACATTTGCCCTACTGGAGCTTGAAGGTCAAAACCAGAACATGATATCTGATGATCGAAAGCAACTCTGCCACTTGCACTTGCAGTTTTCGAGAACCTCTGCCAAAGATGCCATTCCAACTGCAGATGGTGCTACGGAATGGTACTCCCCTTCGGGGCTCCACTTCGGGGGGCTGCCACCAAGCATGCAGCCCTTTCGCCTGCTACGACGATCACGACGTCGCGACGGTCCACGTCGTCGATCGTTCGGCACCACCCAATAGTGTGGAAGTTCCTGAACTCGGAGCACCGGCCGTTCGTCAGACCGTTTTAAACATGGTCGACGTTGGACTCCCAGGGACAAAACTGAGATGCGCATATGCGATTTCGAAGTGCAGTTCGGCAGGAAGTTCAAGCACGAGATCATCGAATTCCCGGTGGTCTTCTTGAATGCCAAGACTCTCGAGGTCGGATTTAAAGAGACTGCGCACTACAATTCGACGCTAAAGGTAGGTGACAGGCGCAGCACCAGGTATATAGAGATCGAGCAGTGTTCGCTTTTTTAGGTGTCAGCCAATTTGTGAAGCACTGTCCTATAAAAAGAGTGGACTTGCAGAAGCTACGCACACCGGCTCGAGCTGGGCCACATGTATACTGTAGATCTGTAAAAGGATTGCTACGTACTCGGGTAAAAGCAGCAACTCTAGGGACGCGGTAAATAGGCCACTGGCATCCTTGCGGTCGAACCTTTCGCAAGTCGGACGTCGGGTGGACGCTTACCGCGCTGGCTCCGCCGCCCGTTTGGGGCATGGCACGCAAGCACCACTTCGTTGGGGATGCTTCGGGCCCCCAGAATTCGGGTTAGATGGGTTAGTAAGCCCGGCGTTCTAGTCCAGTTCGACCGATATTTTGACCGGCTGGAGTAAAGGAAGTGTCCTTTCAGTTCCCGTAGTCAGACCATTCTTTTTATAGTCTGACCGACTCCCAGGGTAAGGGCAAAATGTAGGAAGAAGGAAAGAACCAACACCACCTCCCGCGTCCCGCGTCCCGTAGCGTAGCGTCCGTAGCGTCACGGTCCCCCACCAACCCACCGCGAGGCCGGTGACCGTCCGGGTGGCGTCGCCGCAGGTCGTCCGGGTCGCGTGAGGGGCACGTCGGGGCCAGGTGGATCTGGAGTTCCACCGCTACGTGCGACCCACCGAAAAGCCAGAGCTGACGGACTGGGCAGATGGGATGGGATGGGCGGACGCCCACGATGACGTGGGGACGGAGGAAGAATAGGATGGTCAGTATGGGCGGTCGAGTTCTTTTTGGACCGGGTGACTATAGGTAAAACACCCCCAGGTTTTGGAATGACCGTTTTTGACTTTATTTCTTGAGTTTGGCATGGGTGTAGATGCTTTTTTGGCATCGATGTCTATCGGCTTGAAAGGGGAACTTAATAAAAAAGACGTGAATGTTCCTTCATTTCAAGTGAGCGGACATCTCAGCCATTTATAAAGCTTTACCATGATACAGCTGTCCATGTCCGGAAAACCATGACTGACCTTTTCCACGCCAAAGACATTGAACGAGAGGACACGCCACACGTGCGGATCGTCGGTTTGTGGCTGGGAGGACTTTTGCCGAGAGCTCACTGGCATTCAGCAAGCTTGGGTCGATGAAGCTCCTTGGGCCAAAAGAGGGACCTCCATAAAAGAAAGAAGCAAATGGACCTTCCATGGCACCTGTGTGGCACGTGAAGGGCACAGGGGTATGATTTTTCTTTTCTTTTAAAACACATCTCACATCCCTGTTTTCAGGCCTTGTTGGTGTTCGAAAGACATGTTGACGGCAGGTTTTTTGAGACACTGCGAGAGAGTCTCCATAGATCAAGCTTTGAGAGGCTTTGCTTGAGATTCTTCAGTCTCTTCAGCTTCATTCCAAACAACATTTGGATCCCACAGCCTAAGATGCCCTGACAGAGACATCTTTGCAAGTCCTTGGTGTGTTCCGTCACGAGCAGATGCCACTTGTGAGGCTGATACTATCGACGTGGTGTTGCGTGACTTCTATGGCTTCCTGGAGGAGCATTCCTTGTTCCATCGCCCATCCGAAGGCGCATTGGTCCAGTCTTCCTGCACTCCTACAATAACCCTGGAAGTTCAAGACTCTCCTCAAAACGGTCTTTAGGGTGATCTTAAAGGAGTTTCCTTTGCTTCGGTGGTATCCAAACATAGTCGGACAAGCCAAGTCGTGGGCGTCCAGACCCTGGGCTTTTTGCTCCGCCTCTCGCTTTCGGCTCGGTGATCCGCTCTGGAGCAGCAAACGTCCTCGTCCGAAGTCCTCCGCCCGTCCTCGTCCGGTCAGGAAAGCGGTGCTTCAGTTTCTGCACCGACGGACCGATGGACATCCAGGGCTTTCTGAAGCGCGAGACGCGGCGCAAAGGCCGGACATCGCGCCGTGCATCGCGCGGCGGGAGACGCCGGGCCGACGCCGCGCGGCGGGAGATGCCCAGAGGAGTTGGGGGTGTGCGAAGCCTCCAGTGGGGATCAGCTGTGCTGGTTTGGGCGAGGAGCGCCGTGAAGTCACTTCGACTCACCACACACAACTGACGAACACATGACGTGGATGGCATGGTGTCCCTTAGACTACTTTCCTTGTGAACTCCAGTTCCATGTGATGTGTTCGTAGGATTGTAAGCTGATCGCAGATGCTTGGTTTTCTTCGCGGAGATTTGGTCGATTTTGTCTCTGTTGCCCTTGGTTAACGATTGCCAAGTGCAGCGGATTTTGACGAAAGAATCAAAGCTCTCAGGCATATTTGGGGTGGCTTCAGATTCTTTTGTGTTCACTTTCTACTTACTTGGGATGATTGATCCCAGTCACAGATATTTTTCGTTGAACGCACCGTGCCCAGGCATGTGCTTGCGGGCCTGCTGGCAGACGTTCATCGACGTCAAGCCGCTCGGAACTTTTGTAGAACTCCAAGCCAAACCCTGAGGTCATAGAGAGTTTTGGGTTTTGTGCCATTTACATGTTGCTGTACATCCATTTTGTTGAGAAGCACCGTTGGCGAAGTTCTAGTCTTCTTTGAAACCTTCTCTCTACCCTGCTTATCCCTGCTTGACCCCACGTCCCGTGGCAATCTCCCGGCACGTGGTGCGGTTCGCTGGTGCCTAAGGAGAGTCTTTGGCGCAGCCTTCAAAATGAAGCCCTGCGGCTTACAGGTGCGACGTGTGGTACGGCACGTCGGTCGGTCCCGGCGGTCGGTGCCGGCGTGCGGTGGTTGTTCGGGATGCTGAAACGAAACATATGCCGGAGTATGATATCGCCTATATATATGTGTAATCATGTAGGTAGGTGTCTACACTGAATCTACACTATGCTACAGAGCTACATTGACACAGCTGCACAATGCTACACAATAAACAGATGAAATCGATACTCCGTTGACCTCAACTGTTATTGCTGCGGATGGCAGGATGAGGAGACGTGTCTCGCGCCGCTGTTCTTATGTGATTTATGTGTTGGAAACATCGTCAATGTGTCGGGATGCGTTCAGAGTGGGGCAAGTGCAAGTGCAAAGACCATTTTTGGGATCACTGAAGTCACTGAAGTAAAGGACATCCTAGAACAAGTACTCGTGTTATCACGTGAGAAAAAGAACACATTGTTAAAGGAACCTTCCTCTTTGGATCACCAAGCAGCCGGGAGACAGATCGGGGTGTGCAAATGGCGTGGCGTTGGTCTGACCCGGTCGGCTCCTCCAAGGCCTCTAACCGGATCCATTTCGTTCCGATGAGTTCGGCCGATGAGTGCACGTCCCTCAGCTCCCCGAGCTCGGTGCCGACCCGAAGCAGACGCAACTGCTACAGGGCTTGAAGCAGATGGCGGTGCATCGGATGTTCATCCGACCTTTTGGCTCCAAGTGGACCTGCAAGGTTCCAGTTCAATGGGCCTGCAACGTGCTGCTCCAATTCGCCGGCGCGGGTGGGCGTTTTCGGGTGCTCGGATCGCGTGGGACGACACCCGTTGTTGGAGGGCTTTGGGTCCCAACTGGGGCTGAAGGGGTTGAGGTCCCGACTCAGAGCCGACTCTCGGTGCCGCTCGTGCAGGAGATGCTCGCCTCGCGGAACTTGCACTTCCAAGGAAGGCCAGGACGGTTTGCTCGTGCGAGGATGAGATTTGTGCGTTGCACGAGGGACGGCCGGTCTTGGGTGTCCTGGTTTTTGCCACTTCTGTGTGGCAGAACGGTCGATGTTCATCAGATTTGATTTAATGAGTAGACTCTTGATTATAATATATAGATTGATATTTCAACATATGATGACCCCCAAGCCTGAAGAGATTTCACAATCCAAAAGAGTTGGTTGTGAAGTCCAGGTACATTCTACATGGTGGGTCGGGGACAACCCGAGCTGTTTCGGGTTGGGACTGGGTTGGTCCTTTTGCCGCTTTTGGGCACTTTCTGCGTTTGGACATTCTGCTCGTCCAGTTCTGACGAACTCCTTGCGATCCAAAAGGAGCCAATCGTGCGGATCGCCCCAAAGGGAAGAAGCGGCTGTTCATGTGACGAATGCTCATTAGATTTGAATGTGATTTCAATTTCATTTTGCTTTCTTTCAATTGCGGATAGACGGCATTGCATCGCCGCACCGCGATATGATTTCTCGAATCTCCCCGGCCGAAGGGCCCTTGAGTCACCAGCGGCGACGACCTTCGCCATTCACTTGGCATTGAAGAAAGGACGCATCGCGGCCTTCGAGTTCTTTTTCTTTGGTTGCTTGGAACTTCGTGAGTTCAAGTACTTCGAGATTGGTAGCGGAGCTTGAGACGATCCTCCCGGAATTTGACCAGGGTGAACTTTTTGTTTGAAGACGCCTATAGGGTAATCCTGGCCGGTGAGAATTAGATCATCTTAAAGATCACGTTCAGCAAGGCAGTCACAAATGAGTGGTCAGCAAAGAAGACAGCGAGATAGACCAGAAGGTGAACAACCAGTTGATGTCCCCATACCTCCTTCTCCTCCACGTGCAGCGAATGGAGCTAGTCCAGGAACTCCTTCCTCTGGATCCAACAACTATCGTGGATTGGATAGTGGCTTGGCAAAGGCCGCACCATCGGCCGAGGGGCTAACGCAAAGTGGCTATCGCAGCTACAGAAGACGATTGGAATTGTATGCCCTGCAGTGTCGTCGACGCTCAACGGATGCTGAGATTGAAGGTGCTCTTTTGGTCATCAGCCTCCTCAAGGACACTGTTTGGGATGCAGCAGAACAAATAGATTTGAAAGAAATCACAAGTGGAACAAATCCGTTCGCACCTTTGTTCACCATGATGGACCAGCTATTTCAATATGAAGAACAAATTGAAGTTCCATATCGGTGCGAAGAGTTCTTTCAAAGCTTCAATCGTCAGAAGGGAGAAGAAATGCAGGCATACCTCATTCGCCACCGCACTGCTTTGAAGAAACTTCGAGAGGTCAAGATCGACATTCCACCACTTCTTGCTGGATGGCATTTGTTGACCCGAAGTGGAACTCCAAAATGGACACACGTGCAAGTGAAAGCATTGTGCAAAGGCGAGCTTGACTATGAAGAGGTCCAACGAGCTTTGCTTCGAATGTTTGGTGGAGATCACAAACCAAACACCAAGGACATTGGACCTGTGGCCAAGTCATCCAAAGACGAGTTCTTCTACGAGGAAGACTATGATGAGGAGTTCTACTACGAAGGAGAAGAAGAAGATGATTGGCATGAAATCTACTATGAAGGTGATGAAGATGAAGAAGAAATCCCTGAGGAGCTTGAAGAAGCATACGAAAACATGGATGAAGCCTACATCTCCTATTTGGAATCAAGGAAAAGAATGAAGGAACTTGCCTTGGCTCGTGGCTTCTACCCCGTCGTGGCCATTGGTCCTGACTTCGATCATGGCAAAGGAGGCAAAAGCGAAAGGAAGGGAAGCTCAAAGGGCAAAGGAAAGAGTAAAGGAAAAGGAAAAGGCAAAGGAAAAAGCATGTTTCCTCGACGCCCAATGCATGGTCTTCGAAAGCCACCATCATCGTCGACCACTACCTCCTCCGAGTTGAGATCAACCCTGACCGGTTCCAATTCTTCCCATGGACCGAGGTTCAAACGATATCGAGTGCAAGCACAAGGTGTCAAAGAAGTTGGAGGTGAAGAGGTGACCATGGTGGAGGAACTAGCGGAAGAGTGCTTTCAAGAGGACATCTTCTTTGCCACCCTTGCTCCAGGTCATGCAATTGTGGATTCAGGTGCAACAAGAACACTGGTCGGAGAAGAAGTGTGGAAAGAATGGGTTGAGCACTATGATGAAGGCCTACTTGGACCTCTCCGTACTCAGGCACAAAAGCGATCCTTCAAGTTCGGCGGCGGAGAGATGCTTGAATCCAACTACGAAATCTCCTTCAACGCCTTGGTGAAAGGTCAAAAGCTGCCCATCACGGTTTCAGTGGTACCTGGGCACACTCCCTTCCTGTTGGCGAGACCAATGCTGGAACAATGGGGGGTGAAACAAGACTACGCCAGTGGCAACATGAAGGTGGCTCAATCCGAATGGTTTCAACCAAGTCGTGGACAAAAAGGACTATGTGTTGAACTTGTTGGAATATCATGAAGACGAACAAGAGATGAACTACATCATGGAAGAAGAGGTTTTGATCACGACAAGTCCACTGGAAATTGAACCGCCCTGTGAGACAGAACCGTCTGACATTGCAGAGCAGATCCTCATGGAGTCCGAAGCAAATGAAGTTGAAGAGATTTCTCAACAAGTTTTGCAGCGCCTTCAACAAGAAAGAAAATTGATCTTCTTTGAGGTCTATGTGGATGAAGGCAACCTGGCTACTGAACTGTTGAAACGCTTTCCAGACTGTGAGGTCGCTACTTTCAGCCTACCTCATTGGGACTTTGAAAAAGAAAATGACCGAAAAGCATTCCTCAAGTTGGTGAGAGAACAAAAGCCTCACTTTATCTGGTGTGCACCACCGTGTACGAAATGGTCACCAATGCAAAGGCTCAACATGATCAAGGCCGAAAAGCTAGCCTACATCCTGGAATTGCAAAAGCAAGAAGAAAAGCAACATTTGAAACTGGTTTTGGATGTCACCGACATCTGCAACTGGGAGATCAATGCCGGCATGGCCATGGAGCATCCTCATTTGGCTATGTCATGGAAGACGAAAACCCTGGAGTCCATGGATGGTTATGATGCAATCTGCAACCGATGCAGGACCGGTTTGTGCTACTATGATCGCATGGGAAACTATGTCGGAAAGGTCAAGAAACCTACGAGGATTCGCACAAACAGCCAAATGGTCTTTGAAGCACTGGATCTTCCATGTGAATGTCTTCCTGGAGAGCATGTTGCTATGGATGGAAAAGCAGAAAGCTTGAAGAAAATGCAAAACTACGAAAGAGGCTTCGTGAAAAGAGCAGCAAATGCCATCTATCAGGAGATGGAAGAACGATGGCGACAAAGAGAGATAGCCAAGATCTATATGGTTGAAGAGCAGGATGAGAGAAACAAAGTGAAGAATGCATCCAACATCACTGAGGAAGAGAAGAAGCTGATGAAGACCCACAGCAAGCAAAACCTACAGGTCATCAGCAAACTGCACAAGCAACTTGGACATCCAGGTGTAGATCGGATGATCAAAACGCTCAAAGATGCAGGTATGGATGAGTCTCTGATCCGATGTGCCAAAGACTACAAGTGTGAAGTGTGTGAGCAACAGGCACAACGGAAATTGGAGAAACCAGCTTCACTGCCTCAGGCCAGTCACTTCAATGAATGTTTGGAAGCTGATGTTTTTCACATCCGCTGGAATGGAGAAAAGCGAAAGGTTTTGGCCATCCTCGACATCTACTCCAAGTACGAAATCAATGCTGTGTTGGAGAGAGAAACTGAAGAAGCTGAACTTAAGATACTTCGTGAACAATGGCTTCAAACTTTTGGTCCTCCAGAACGATTCCGAACAGACCAGTCAGGAGCTCACATGAGTCAGAAGTATCTGGACTTCTTCGACCAAAACAACATCAAGCTGATCCTCGTGCCCAAAGAAGCTCACTATAGAATGGGATCAGTGGAAAGACTCCACGCTGTGAGAAGAATGCAGCTGCTCAAGATGCAACAAGATGAACCGAATGTACTCCTTGAAGAAGCTGTTCCAGTTGCTTGTCATCAACGAAACCGTCTTCGTTCAGTGCATGGTAGCTCACCATACCAAATCGTTTTTGGACACAATCCTCAATCGAACGGTCTTTGTGATGAACCGTACTTGTCCAAACCGCTCGATGACACGGAACAGCACCAAAAAGATCAAGCACTTCGGTATTCAGCAGCAAAAGCATTTTATGAAGCCAACAACAACCAGCTGCTCAAACGTGCACTTCTTGCCAGGCCACGGTCTGAACATGTGGCCGCCAGCCTTGGCGATTGGATCTACTACTGGAGACAGGGGGGAAAACAAACTTGACCCCACTCGCTGGCGTGGCCCGGCATTGGTCTGCGCCATAGAGCCCCGCAAGAACGATGACGGCCGCATCCGAGCTTCTGTTTACTGGGTTGCTCATGGCTCCAGTTTGGTGCGTGTTGCAAGTGAGCATATTCGTGCCGAGGTGGCTCGAGAACGTGTTCATCGATTGGAAACGCAACCTGACACAGCTGTTTCAAACAGTTTGGTTCATCGAGTTCGACAAGCTCTGACCCCTGTGCAGGGTCCTGTGCGTTTTCTTGATCTTGCAGGGGATCCCACCTTTTCGAATGCAAAGGCTGACACTTCTGTACCTCCTCTGGTACCACCAGAGAGTCCAGAAGTTCCTCCTCTGGTACCACCAGAGGAAGTTCCAATGTCAGAACCTCAAGCCGAAGAAGAAGTGACAACAGAACCCCAGCACACTGCGGCAGCAGCAGAACACAAGACAGCAGCAGCCAGCACGGCAGCAGCAGAAGCTGAAGCAGTTGAAGTAGAAACAAAAGAAAACCAAGACCCAAGTGGCCGAGGCAGATCGAGAAGCCCTCCACCTCATGACTCTCGGCACAAAGACTTTGAAAACCTGTATGAGTCCTACAACAAGGCACGTCAACTTGATGGCCTCCCGCCTGTTTCTCGAGATGATCAGCAGCTGAAAAGTCAATATGACATGCTGTATGGTGAGGAAGTTGATTGGCTGGACGAAAATTTCGTGGCCACTTCATTCAGTGAGAAGAACCTCACCAAAGAGCAGAAAGAAGAGTTCGCCGAAGCTCGCAACAAGGCTTTGGATGTCTGGTTTGAGAATCAAGCATGGCGACCAGTAGATGCCTCCGAAGCCCAACCAGGCGAAGCAGTACCAGCAAGATTTTTGCAGCGCTGGAAGCCAACAAAAGAAGGGCAGAAAGCAAACGCCCGAATCATCATACAGGGATTCAAACATCGTGATGTGCTCGAAGACACTGTAGATAAGGAAGCTCCTACTTTGTCCATGGTTGGTCGCAGCTCCATTTATCTTTTTGCAGTGGTTCGTCAGCTCAAGCTGTGGAGTGCTGATGTGAAGACTGCTTTTCAACAAGCAGACAACATCGAACAAGAAGCCCGAGTGTTCATACAGCCCTCAGCTGAGATTCGACGCCTCCTGGAAAGAAAGATTGGATTGAAACCATGGCAAATCATGCGTGCATCCAAGCCCGCTTTTGGTGATTGCAGAGCTCCAAGACAGTGGAATGCAACTGCTCATAGGTGCTTGACTGAGGAACTTGGCATGATCCCACACCCGTTGGATCGTTGTGTGTACCTCAGCATCCGAGCTGCATATGAATCTGATCCAGCTTTCGAAGTGTTCCAATGGAATGGTGTCCCTAGCATTGTTGATGGCATTTTTGGACTCCATGTGGACGACTTCATCGGTACTGGTGAAGGTTTCTGCAGTGAGCATGATTTGAAAAAGGAATGTCCCAATGAAGAGTGTTTCCTCAACCGCATCCTGCGTTTGGCTCAGCGTTTTCGTTTTGGTGCATGGGATTTTGGAAATGGCTCAAAGATCATCTTTTGTGGTGCTGAACTGCAACAGTCGTTAGACTACTCAACCATTTCGGTGAGTCTGGCTAACTATGTACAGAAGGTGAAACCTATTTCATTGGACAAATCCAGGAAAACAATGACGGAGTCTCCATGCGATGAACGTGAACACCGACAGTTCCGTGCCCTCATTGGTGCGCTGGCATGGCCTGCTCATCAAAGCATCCCTGAGTTGTGTGCAAGCGTGAGCATTCTGCAAGCATCAGCAAGCAATCCATGTGTTGGTGATTTGAACCAAGCAAACAAGCTGCTTCGTTTTGCAAAAGAAGTTTCAAAAGATCACCAACTGTACATGCGTGGTTCATGTGCTTTTTCTGAGTTGTGCATCGGAGCATATACCGATGCTGCTTGGGCCGTACGACCCGACGGATCAAGCCAAGGTGGACTTTTGGTTTTCATTTGTTCGCACCAAGAGCTGGAATCCGGCAGCATGATGCCGCTCAAAGTCTTTTATTGGAAATCGCACAAGTTGGCACGTATTTGTCGGTCAAGTTTGTCCTCAGAGGCTCAAGCAGCCGCCATTGCAGTGGATGAGCTTGAATGGTGCAAGATTTTTGTTTCTGTCATGATCGACCCCACCTTGCCGATCGAAAGTCCGGAAGCATTGCAAAAGCTTGGACCATCCCCGCTTGTGACGGATGCAAAATCTTTGTTTGATGCTGCCAAGTCCTTGTCTCCCAGCATGAAATTGAGTGAGAAAAGAACTGCGATTGAAGTGGCGATCGTGCGAGATCGCATGAACGCCTTGTTGGGAAAATGGATGTGGGTGAACTCACACCAACAGATCTCTGACGGCTTGACAAAGCCGGCTTCCAGAGATTCCATGGCCTACATCATGAAGCGTGGCACCCATCAACTCAAGTTCAACCCCGACTTCACAGCCTCCAAGAAAGTGTCCTCGGAAGCCAAGAAAGAAGAGAGGGAAATCCATGAAGCTTTTTCAAAAGAAATGGAAGAACAACAAGTTTTTGCAGTAGAAGAGTGGCAAAAGCATGAACAAGGTCTTTGTTTACTTCCAAGTTGCTGCAAACCCCGCAACGAGAGTGATCCTCGAAACAAATACTGCAGCAGAAGGCATTTTTATGCCCACCGCAGCTCAAAGAGCCATCAAGACGAATGGAAGAATGCAGCCTTGTTTTCCGCAGCCATTTTGATGGCCAGTGAAGCGCCTCTTGCTGAAGGAGCTTTGACATCTGGTGAAGCTGAAGGATGGAGTTCGCCAGTCCTCATGTCCTTCCTGGTCATCATGATCTTCGCATGGATTGGCCTTGAAAATGTGTTTCTGCGTTTTGGCATTGAAACCATCTTTTACAAGGCCTACCGCTTTGCAAATAACAAGGTGACGAACCTGTTCAGAGAGGAGATGAATGAAAATGAGCAGGTTGTTGAGAATGACCAAGCTTCTGCGAATGCCCCAGTGACTGAGAACCCGCTCCATCCTCCTAGCCATGTCGTTTCCGCAGCTGTTCAGGCCGATGAGGTGATCCTAAATGCACTGACTTTGGCCCGTCGTCCTGGAATAGATTCAGGAAGCACAACTACGAACACAGAGTCGGATCTTCCAGATGAAGAATGGCATCGCTGGAGTCGCATGAAGGTGAGAGTTCAAAACGAGGCTGGACAAGGCCCATACCGTCGCCTTCTATGGGAACTCGAAAACCATGATAGCAGCCTGGATTCCCAAACAAGGTGCGTGTTGCAGTCTGAGAGCTTCACTACGCAGCGCTGGAGGAAATTCAGTGAATTGCTTCGAGCTCAGGACACCTCACAATTTTCTGATGAGCAAGTATGTCAGTGGCACCGAATGTGGAATGACAACCTGGTGTTTTTGGCTGACGTGAATCGTCGCATCGTTCGTCAGAGAAATCAGATCATTGCCTTGGAACGCAATGACCGTGTCCGTGAGCAAATCTACAACGGTGAACTGGCTGACCGAACCTGCCAGACTCCTATGACGTTTGTTGCTGGCACTCGACCAAGACGCCTAGCTGAGAGCGAACATGGTGCGTGGTACCATGTGAGTGATTTAGATGTCCTTCGTTGAAGGTTGACTCAGAGCCCGCTTTTTTTTTGAAAGTTTTCCATACCATGTTGGCACCCCTTGAGAAACAACTTGGGCGTGTTAATGTGACGAATGCTCATTAGATTTGAATGTGATTTCAATTTCATTTTGCTTTCTTTCAATTGCGGATAGACGGCATTGCATCGCCGCACCGCGATATGATTTCTCGAATCTCCCCGGCCGAAGGGCCCTTGAGTCACCAGCGGCGACGACCTTCGCCATTCACTTGGCATTGAAGAAAGGACGCATCGCGGCCTTCGAGTTCTTTTTCTTTGGTTGCTTGGAACTTCGTGAGTTCAAGTACTTCGAGAGCGGCTATATACGCGCTGCGCATCGAGGGCTGCGGAGAAAGGCGGTGTGTACGTTCTGCGTCCTAAGGCAAAAGACAACTGAAACTAAGGAGCTCTGCAGGTGTAGCTTTCCTGGCCCTGAGGTTTTTCACCTCACTGTTCGTTTCTGGTAGGGTCTATCTATGACCAACGCCAGCAACACGAGGTCATGTCCTGACCTGCAAATACTAGGACCCTCCTGGCCAGGCCGTTTGGAGACCCTAACAGGTGGTTTCTGGACACCTGTCACCAGGAAGCACCTGTAGAGTCGGGTGCTGGTAGAGGTTTCATCTCTTTCAGTTCGATTCCACAGGCCGCATTCCGGCTTGGACGATAGCCGGAACATCGCGCGGCTGGTGGCTGAGCTGCTGAGAGAAGGAGTCCGAGAAGAAGACCTGGTCTTCAAGCCCACGATCTTTTGCGGCGTTGTTTCACCTTATCTTCACTCTGAAAGAATCTTAGATATATATAGTCTAGCCCTCAGCATTTTCGCTTGGCCAGCCACTTTGGTGGCTTTACTCCGATCTCCTGCAGCTTCACACGGATTCCACCCCGCCAGGACACGCGCTGCCCACGCTGCCGGCGGCCAAGAAGCCGAAGCCGCCGCCGACTTCGCCGACTTCGCCGCCGCCGCCGTCTGCGCCGAAGTCGAAGGGAGCCAAAGCCAAGAAGGGCCGAGGAAGAAAAGTGGAGGGTGGGCGATCGGCTGCTACTAGCACGGAGCAGCTCCCCTTCCGACCCGAACGGAACCGCCCGGCGTTCCCCCCTAAGCCAAGGCGACCGCGGAGCGGATGGGGTCGGATCGCGCGGATCGCTTGGGGGATTGGATCGATCTGTCGGTTTCAGTGAGGTGAAGGGGAAGTCCACATCTGAAAGAAGGGGCAGGAGCCCCGTAATGAGCTTCTTGTTCTTAAATGTTCTTATAGTGGGTTGAGAGTAGATGGCACCATCCCCAAGTTTGGTGGTTTATATGGAGCCCTATATAAAAGACATCTTGGGGTGCCAGTGCCATCTACTCTCAATCCACTGTAGTTTGAAAGAGTACGTTTTGTTGGGGGGACGAAGTGAAGGACATTCCTGGACCTGGGTCACCTTTCCTATCCCCCTTCATCTGCTATGTCTTGGACTGGGTATGGATTGCATTCTTCCGAAGAGTGTGTGGGTGGATGGAGAGTCGAACAACATCCGTCGACTCGGGATCGGGATGGTGATTCGACGATGGTGGAAGACCAGAAGAGACGGAGACGGAAGCTGCTTGTTCTGATTGAAGCTGCTGGAAGGCGAAACAGTGGTTGAGAGTAGATGGCACTGGCACCCCAAGATGTCCCCTAGAATCTTTAAATGGGGTTCCATATAAACCACCCACCTATAGGGATAACTTGTGCCATCTACTCTGAAAACACGGTAGTTTCAAAAAACAGTTGCATCACTCGATTCAGTTGTGTCACTTTCGGGCTCAGACTCTAAATCAGCTTGTGCACGAATGAGCATGGCATTGGCAGAGCAAGCCCGAGCTACCCTCAATCGCCAACACGCCAAATGCTTTTCGACCTTGGTTAAGCAGGACAATTGAAATTGGATAGACAACATGGATGTGGAAGACCACTGCAAAATGACAGTCATTTTCGGCAGCATTTTTTGCGTTTCAATCTGCTGGCTAACGATGCAGATGCCCTCAATATCCCAGCCATGCGTTTCACATGTCCCACGCACGATAAGGCAGCGAATATCTTCCAGATCCCGACCCTTTTCTCTTGGTTGCAAGCAACAAAAGAAGTCACCACACATGAACAACCCCCTCCACCTTCCTTCACTCCACTCCCACCACTTTCCACCCCCCAGCCGAGACCAACACTTCCCGCGATCCTTGCGATCCATGCGCCGCACGGGTTCCCCCGCTTCACACGGGTGCTCCGGTGGCCGGAATGCAGCAGCGGGACCTGTACCTCGAGAGGGAGAAGAAGCACTGCGGCATGATCGGTGTTTTCGGTGTGTTTTCCAGGGAAGATCCCAGTGGATCCAGAAAAGATGGATCCCAACATCCCGGCGACCTCACCATCTCCTCAGGTTCGGTGGTAGCACAGACCCGGCACAGCACCCCTGTCGCACCGAACCTCCGAAACGGAGGTGGGGCAGGAGCCCAAACGGGATCGGTAGAGACACAGACGAAGGCGGCACGCACAGAGCGACATGTGCTTTGACACACATCAGGATGGATGCATTTTCGAAGAAATGGGTCATGCATGGTCATGCTGTTAGGTGGTGTCCTGCAGTCCGTCCGAACCCCCGCCCCAAAAGATCCGCGTCATCTCGCCTGGCCGACAGGGAGAGAAGCCGTGAGCTCGACTTGAACCCATGAGCTCGACGTGTGAGAACCACGCTTCGTATTCCATGGTTTGTTGTTGGATGACCTCCCTCCAAGAGTCATCGAAGCTGACCCTCGGCTTCCCGGAATTAGAGGATTTCATGGGGTTTTGCAGGGGCCCACTTCCATGATTGTTCAAGAAGTGCATGTCAATTATACTATATATTACTGTTTGACCACACATGGCATGTAATTTGCATTCATTCCTCGCCGAGCCTCTTTCCCAAAAGCTTCGAAGGTTTCCCCTACGGACACCTGCCAGCCGTTGAAGGAATTCGTGACATTTGAGACATGCTGCCCAGACATGCTGCCAAACATCTTTTTCCCAACATTTATTTCATGGGAATGCCCCCAAAATTACCTACTACTGTACGGATAGTGGCAGCTACTGTATTGTGCAGAACTTCTGCAGCAGGTTTGAACCATTGATCTCATGCATCATTGATGCATACTGTATATACTGATGCACCAAATGTGACCACGAGGGGCAGAGAGAGAGAGAGAGGACTGGATTCTTCATTGCAAGGACTGGTGAAGAAGTGATCTCTGGCACTTACTCCTCCATTCGCACCTTGGTGAAATGAATGTCGTTCGATTTTTCTACAAGCAAAACTGAGTGAGTCGTGCGAGTTGACTTGCTGACATAGTTCGCAACGTTTGGGTGTTCTTTCAGGGAGAACGCTATTACAGCCAAACAAGTGATGCCTTCCTCAAAGCAACACTACACCAACCGCCTGAAAAGGGAGAGTGAACGTAAACTCTTGGTTATATTTCAACCCTCCATTTGAAGAGGTTTTTGCATCAAGATTCTACTGTATGTAATAAGACAAACCGAGCAGCTCCGAGCAGGGTGCGACATGATCATCTGTCTAAAGACCGCATGGATTCTCTTCAAGGTGTACCTCTTACTTCCAGCACCTGCAGTCTGGTTTGACATCCTCCCTCGTTTGGAGGTCTGACACTTCAACAATATGTCGACTCAGAGGCCGGAAACGGCCCGTTTCGTCCCGGAAACAAAGCCACCACCGAAACGGGGCCGAAATGGATGGATTCTCCCCCTTCCCGACTCCACCGGGGCCTTCCCCACCGGCTCCGAGGAAGTGCGGAGGAAGTACGTTCCGAACCATCCAGCGAGGAGGAGCCGAGCGTTCGCCGTTCGCCCTTCCTCGGTGCCCTTCCCGGGGTGGTGGCCTTTCTTGGGTGGGAAAACCATGAGTCAACAGGATGGCAAGAGGATGAGGAACAGGCAACGCAGAGGATGAGGGAGAGATGTATCATTTTGATCAGCTTTGTAGAATCCTTGTACCAAAAACTGACCACTCGACCACACAAAAGACGCGACCTGCAGGATGACACTGAAGAAGAGCTCAACCGTCAAAGGGCAGCTGCCTTTATGGTTGGCCACTTCCACGTGCCGAAGTCGAGGCTCGTTCAACTCGGGCTGCCGAGCGGAGCTGGCAGAGCGAGCGTAGCCCTAGCCTTCCACGGCTCTGCCCGTGCGGAAGAAAACGGCAGGTTCGTGGCGTCCGATGGTTGAGGGTCTTTGGTGGTCGGAAGCTTCAGTGAGAGAAGCAATATGAAGCTACCAGCACCCTCCTGGCCAGGCTGTTAGTTGAGGGTTGTTGGACCCTAACAGGTCTCAATTGGTGACCTGTCGGAGGGTCCTGGTATACATGTATGCCCTGGAAGTCCAAAGACTTTATGTTGGCACCATCTAAAGTAGAGGAAACGCCACTTGGGGTCGCCCAGTCAGACCATTTTTTTTGAAAAGTCTTGGATTTCCAATGATTTCCAGGTATATGTATACCAGCACCCAACTCTACAGGTCTCTGAAATGGAGGGTTGGGTGTTTGGCCCTGTCACAGGTTTCAATTGGGTGACCTGTGAAGTCGGTGCTGGTATATCCCAAGAGAGGTAGCCAGTGACCGTAACTAGGACCGTTTAAGTGAGGGGTACCGAACTGGGATAGGCGAGTTCGGGGCCTTCAACCTTTGTTGGTAGCTTCTTAGTTGATGTTCGAGAAACGCCGGTCCAGGCACCATGCGCTGGAGAAGGAATCGCTGTATGGTGTGTCTCGGATCGCTTACGGGTGAGACGTTGGGTTTTTCCGAGTTTTTGCGGTTCATCGGTTAAGAAGAACCGTGCAAAACACATAGCACCCAAGGCATCCAGGCAAACCACTATAGCTGGTAACCAGTGGTTCCAAAGACTAAAGCCATAGACTCTAGAATCCCTGGTTCCTTATATAGTGGTAACTGGGATGCACTGGGGCACATATAAGTTCTGCCAAGACCTTCCACCAAGTCCGGTGGTGTCCAAACACCTCGACTCACCTCGACTCAGAGGCTATTTATAGACACCTCTCGGTGTCGGTCCTGGTGGGCCGGGCCTATAGATCGTCCAATTGTTTGTAGAGACTCAACTCACCCGTGAGAGCCGGGTCTTCGCATCTTTTTTCAACACGAACGAGACATGGCCCACCCTGCAGAAGTCGTCGTTGAAGTCGTCGTCGCTTTGGACCGGGAACGTTGGAGAAGGACATCTCTCAGTCACATGAATCCACGGTGTCCCGAAGTCTGGCAACGCACGCCACGACGTGACCGTTCTGTGCATAAGTGTTGGACGGGGTTCCGGGGAACAGCAAAGTGTTGGACGAAGAACGGTGTTTGACTCAAGTTCCTATAGTCAGTTTGCTAGTAACAAGTGCATCGCTACTAGTAACAAGTGCCTTACTAGTAGTAACAAGAAGCTATATAGTAGAAACAAGAAGCCAGTTCCTATAGTCATGGTGCTTTGTGCTTCTCGAAGGCCTTCCATCCACAGGTACTCTTGTCATTTGCATGCACGCGCCGGCGGCTGGTCATCTGGCACCCTTCGGTCGCTACACGAGCGAAACTCGCAGTTGGCGACTCCTCGTCATCTGCTTCGACGCGCCCGCGCGCGAGGCGGGTGTTTGTCGGACGGCGAAAGCCGATCACCGTGCTGAGGCGGTGATCTTGATCCCTCAGATTGGACGCTCCTGCGGTTGGCCATGCGCCCTGATGTGCGGTTCCTCAGGGCGGTTGCAATTCATGAGGGTGAAAGGTCCGGTGAGTGAGGGTGTCTTCAAAGACTCTCACCTGCCGATGCAGGGGTGGCTGGACAACCCCACGTGAGTATACCGTCTCCAGGTCGACAGGACACCCCAGACAGCAAGTGCGGTGCAACTGGTCGTGATTGTTCGGCCTGTTGGAAGGGTCTCCAGACCAAATGCTGCCAGGGGCCCACACAAACCATCAAAACCCATCAAAAACCTGGTTTTCCCTAGCAAAAAAACATGGTTTGTGAAAACCTTTATTTTTTCATGGTTTGGTTCGGGCTCCCTGGTGAAGAGTCATAGAGAGGTCGATACAGTGGACCAGCGAGAGAGGTCGATGAGTGGATCGTGATGGATTTTTTGAGGGAGGAGCGAAGAAGTGGAGAAGACGGGAGGTTCTTGCCATTTGCCCCTTCATGTTCTCCAACCCAGGTGGAAAGCTTTGCGGAACACCGTTTTCGAACAAATGCAGACTTCCGCTCCCTCCGCTTTCCGGGGACTGGGACTCTCTCTTTCACACCGCACCTGACACTGTGCACGACAGGCTCGCCTCTCGCTGTCCTCCTCGGATCGGCACGTCTCCACCGCCCTCGCGACGTTCGTGCCACGGTGGCGTCCGCGCCGGACGTTCGCTTCGCGTCCGCGCCCGGCGAGTTGGGGCGGATCCCGAGGTTCGTGACCGTCCGAGCCCGGCGCCCAGACGCTCACTTTGCTCGCTTGGGGGGGGGACGCCGCCTCCACCTGGAGCCCACCCGCCGTGGCACGTGCCGGATTGGCGCGTGGCACGGGGGGGGGGACCCTGAAAAGAGCGAGGCCGGAGTGGAGCGGAAGTTCGTTGGGGGGTAAAGGCCAGTATTGCTTCAATAAGCCATTTTGGCTTGAAACATTTTCTCTAGTCGGCAGGAGCTAATGGAGATCACCACACTCTCAGGTGCCACTCTCACAAAGCTTCATGAGAAGGAATTGGCCTACATGGTGGAGAATGGACATTCTGTTCGGGATCTGAAGAAGCTCCTGGCGGATCGAGTTGGGTTCTCAAGATTTCGACAAAGACTCTTGAGTGGAGAGGTGGGCGAGCTACAGGATGATATGCCTGTCAGACAAGTACAAAGCTTGCAGTTGATAGTCCTGAACTTTTGTCCGCCTGAGGAGGCCGTTTGGAAGGCACTGCTCCATGCGTGTAAGGAAAATCAAGTTGCTCAAGTCACAAAGTTGCTTCAGAAACCATTGGATCCCAATGAAAGAGGTGCAGAAACTGACCCTTCACTTCTGTTTGTTGCAACAAAACGAGGCCACTTGGAAGTGGTGCGGTTGTTGCTCGAGGCTGGAGCTGACA